AACCAAACTGAAAAGTAAAGAATAGTTTCCTCCCCTTCCTGTGAATTCACTCACAACATCCTCCTGCATGTATTGACTGATTGAGTCACAGCATTCATCATCATCATTTGTTCACTGACTGATCAGTGTGTTGGACTCCACCAGTGATACTTCTTGTCACTCTGATCCTGTTTGTGAGAATCACTGACAGGATCTTAAGGTGCCGCCAGAATGAGGAAGCTGTCCGGTTTGGAGACCTCAGAGTTGCATCTCTGCTTTTCTGCAGATGATGTAGTTCTGTTGGTTTCATCATGTTGTGAGCTTCAGCGAGCACTGAGGCAATCTGGAGTGAGAGTCAGCACCTCCAAGTCTGAAGTCATGGTTCTGTACCAGATACCGATGGACTGGTCCCTCTGGTTGGGGTAAGTTGCTACCACATCTCTAAAGCTGACCTCAGCTTTAGAGATAGGGTGAGGAGCTGGGACATCCAGAGGAAGCTCGGAGTCGAGTCGAAAGGGGTGGTTGAGGTATCTGATTACGATGTCTCCTGAATACTTTTCCAGTCACATCCAGCTGGGTGGAGACCCTGGGGTCGACCTCGATCTCAGTGGAGGCAGTTCTGGAGTGACCTGCTTGGTCTGCTGCCAACCCATCAGACCCCAGATAGAGTGAAATGGATGGATGATGACTACCTGAGAAGACCTGCTGAGACCCATGACTGAGCAGGAAGGAAAGACTGAACCTCTCTGTGCCAAAGACACTGAGCAAAGACTGAACTGTAGCACAGAGCAAGATGGTGAAGATGAATGATGTTAGTAGTAAAGTAAACAACTACATGATTACAATAACGGATCGTTGCAGTGAACGGACTAAACAGAACCGGCTCTAGTCATAGTACTGATGGAACTGTGCTGTTTGCACAGTGCTTCCACTGACATGCTTTTGTTTGTCTCTGCTGTGAAATGATGTTTAGGTTTGGTTTCATTTGTGTGCAACTGTCCTAATGAAAATTTAAAATGTAAAACTGAGTTTAACAGCATGTCATGAAAGCTGCTGTGAAACATTAGATGCAGATGCAGCTACAGGGTTTGGTAAAGCATGCTGATCTTTTTACTGTCTGTCTTGTATGAAAACTGCAAAAGTCAGAAAGATCTGACGTCAGTTGATAGCAGCTTATAGACTATTGATGGACCTGATCAAATGTTTGGGCCGTCAGCTCACAGAATCAATAGATGTTAGTTGCAACATCTATAATTATATCTAATATACTGCCACATTTTTATAAATAATTGAAATAAATAAATAGTAGTCTGCTGAGACCAAGAAGAGAATCCAATTTTTTTGCTCCAACCACTCTAATGTTGATGCAGTTGCACTGCTGGAAACTCTCTTTGCTGCTTTTTAATATTGGAGAGAAATCTTGGGGTCACTGAGGCAGATTCAAAGCAGAGTCCAAAAGAAAATGAATTGTTCTGGATATGTTGAGTTGATCCGGTGTAATAGTGTAACTGCACAGTGAATCACTAACTATAAGATAAAAGGTTATGTTTAAGAAGGAGCACTGCTGGAGTGGAGGCTTGGACAGAGATCTTTATTCTTTGTTACGTGTTAAATAGCAGCCAATAAAACTGGTGTCTTCCAACTCAGCCAAGATGTGCATGACTATTTGAGGGTTTTACTCTGCTTTTATCATTTCTTTCATGTCTTTGCTTTTCAAATTTGGGACTTTTTGAAGTTCTGAAAATGGCAATAACAAACAATGGTTTGGTTCTGATCTGTAAACTTTTGAACCCATGTACATCCTTCACAGTTGGTCTCAGAGTGCTGAAGCATTTTACCACAGCCAACACTGCCTTTAGTAATATAGTTCTACAAATGACACATAAGCACAAGTTTAAACTTGTTGTAAATATAGATTTGTATCTACTTTTGCAGATCTAACGTGTGTGTCCTCCATGAAACAGTTCCACATTTAGCAAACCCAAATAGAAAGCTAAAGTAGAAGAAATAAAAAATGTAAACCCAGTGACAGATATCTGCTATCTCTCCTTTGATTTTTATCACATCATCATGTCTGCTTTCAGTTTTCATTTTTTGTGTCTGATATGTATCATATATCAGATTTGTCTGCATGACAACCATTTTAAAAAACAAAGAACCGTTCCTGTCTGTCTGGGTGTGTCTGCACTCCGTTCTCATTGCACGAATTAAGACACTTTTAAACCTTTTCACAACTTCTGTGAGAAATAAGCTGCACCCAAAAAGAAAACAGGCAAGATAAGAAGCCTTGAAAGTGAACTCATGTTACATCAGTACCTACTTTGAAATGGTAAAACACTCTGTTCACATTCATACATAAATCTTAGCCAAAAGCCTTCGATAAATAACCAGATACGACACATGCTGTGTCCAAACTCCACCACTTTTAAACCAAGCAATGAAGAGGGCTGCAGGATTTCCCAAATGTAACCTCAGAAAAAGCATCAAACCAAACCACATTAGATCCACAGTCTCCTTCATTGAACCACCTTCACTTTGTGTACTGACCAAACAGATCTACATAGACGCTGTCTGTTCTGCTCACTGCAGACTCTCCTCTGTGGAAGATAAGAAAACCTAAATCAGAATGCTGTTCATGGACATCAGCTCAGCATTCAACAGATCCATCACCATAACATCAACAGAAAAACTTTTCAACCTCAGATTGAACCTGACTGCACCAAGAACTGATCACAGACTGTTTCCTCTGCAGACTACAGTCCATCAGGAATGAGTTCCGGGACATTTATAATGAACACTGGTTCCCCTCAAGGTTGTGAACTTAGTTTCATACTGTTCACACTCTGCATCCATGACTTTGTTGCCACAAATGAGAATATTTACAATCTCAAATCTGTGGTTCAGTTTCTATTCCAAGGCCATAAGACTGATGAACACTTCCAGTCCACCTCCACCATCCTCCCTTTGTCCTCCTCTTAATGCAAGACTTCATCCAATCTTTGCACTACTTTATGCACATCTTGACCTTTTGCACCATAAACATATATATATATTTTTTTTTAAACACTGTTTTTGTTGTGTGAGTGTGCTTGGTTGTCTATCTCTAAGTGTCTAAGTCTAAGCGCGACCCTAGTGAGGATTAAGCGGTGTATATATAATGGATGGATGGATGGATGGATTTATTTGTTGTACACGCTCATTTGCATCGACTGCAGAAATGGAAAAATATGTACGTGTTAATGGGCTGAAACTTACAATGAATCTTTTAAAAAAAATAAAATAAACCAACAGAAGCAGCACATGTACCATCACAGTTCCACAGGTTTAAACCAAAGGTTTAAACTAATATCAGCAGCTGTTTAGACAGAATCTGGACCATATTTGCGTCATATAACAAATGACCCAGAATCATAAATTTGTCAACATCAAAGTTCCAACGTCACATAACAGTATTTTTGCTGTCACCATCAAAACGTAACATCATGAAACACTTTGTCCTCAGGTTCAGAAACAGCCACAGCGAGCAGAGCAGCAGCAGATTCCACATCTGTTCCTGAGGACGTGACACAAGGTGAGCTCCTGAAACGCTGCTAAAAGTTGGAGGAATATTTAGACCAACATGAATGAATCAGCCATGCAAGATTATCTATCAATAAAACCTGACAGAGCTTTGACTACAGATTCACATGTATGTAAATTGTTACTTGCTTATCTACAGGCCCCATAACTTCTTGATACACTTCTGTCAGTCTCAGATGTAAAGACTAAAAAGCAGCAGACTAACTTCATTCTTTTCCTGATGTTGTACTGTTCTCACTGTCATTGAATCCCAGGAGGATTGTGGATGTTTGGCTTCTAAATAACACTGTCACAGACAATTCAAACCAGTGTTTGTTCATTTGTTGTCTATATTTACTGAAATTCTCTGGTAAAACCTCATGAATGATTGTTTCACATGACAACAGAGGCTCAGAAACTGCATGAACTTGTGGACACAGAAAACATTCAGACCACAGTCACAGCTACTATTTCTGACGAGCTGAAGTGATGTTCCTGTTTATAGTGATTTCTGACCACTGTGTGTACAAAGTACTGTTGATATATGATATATGTCATTATTCTCTTCTAGCACAACACATATGGATGGCCCTGGTGGGGAAAACTGGAGCTGGGAAAAGCAGCTTGGGACAAATGATTCTGGGAGAGCACGTGTTTAGGATCAATCATACTTCTAACCCTGGAACAAGTGAATGTCAGAAAGAAACCAGACAGGTTAATGGAGGATCTATCACTGTGATTGATACTCCTGGTTTCTTTGACGGTCGCACGTCTGATGATGAGCTGAAGTCTGAGATGATAGATTCTATCATAGAGAGCTGTGATGGGCTTGATGCTTTTCTTATTTTACTTAAAGTTGAGAAATTCACAGAGCAGGAGAACGAGGTTGTTTCCAGGATAACAGAGTGTTTTTCTGAGGAAGCTTTCAAACACGCTGTAGTTGTTTTCACTCATGGTGACCAGCTTCCTGACAACATGATGATTGAGGAGTTTGTCAGTGGAAATAAGCGTCTGTGTGATCTCTTGAAGAAATGTGGGAACCGCTGCTACGTGGTTGATAATAAGTACTGGAAGAACAACCAGCAGGATGAATACAGAAACAACAAGGTCCAGGTAGCAAAGCTGCTTGATACAGTAAAACAAATGGTGGAGAGTAGAGGGCGCTACACCAATGACATGCTGCAAGCAGTGAAGAGAGCAATACGACAGGAGGAAGAGCGCATTAGAAGCTCATCAGTAGGCATGTCACCAGAAGTTATCAGGCAGCAGGCAAAGAGCAATGTCTCAGATCGTCTCATGAAGGCACCTGGCATCACCGCACGAGTATTGCTGGGAGGTTTAGCGGGTGCAACATGTACGATTGTAGTAGCTGCCCTAGGTCTTAAGACAATGATAGCAGGTGCTGTAGTAGGTGCAGTTGCAGGAGTTGGTGCTGTTGTATGTACAGTAGCAGGTTGGGCAAGACATAAAGCAGCTGATGAAGCAGACTCAGCAGGGGAGGCAGCAAAGAACACAGCTACGACTATCATCAAGCAAGACAAAGAAGATGTGGAAAAGCCAACCAGCCAAAAAGAACAGCAAAGTGAGATGGAAACGTTGCATGATTCAAAAAAAAATAATTAGATTGCAGTTGAGCTTTGCACCACTCAGATCAAAATCCCCATCTAGAGGATTGTTTGGCTCTGCTGCCATGATGACACATAAGTATCAAGATCAAAATCAATAACTGTTTGTGAGGCTTTAAACTGACGGCCTTTGTCCATTTATCAGCATGTCTGTGTTCTACTGGTGACTCTGTTCACCTTGATGATGTTTTTAGGATCCTTTAAGGATTTTGTGGTTTAATCAGATCATGTTGGCATTTTCTATTTTTCTACCTTCCTTGTCTCCATGATTGAAGCTTCTTTCTAGTCGTGTTTTTTCTTATTATCCAATCATGAATACGTGAAGGAGAATTTCACCTCAACACACATTATATATTAACTGTCTCCTCCTGCCAGGTGGAGTTTTATGAGGTGTTGTTGATGATTTGGTCTCCTAGAAGAGGCTGATTGTTCTCTGTGCATCTGTAGGTTTATTGTCAGTTACTGACATAAGCAACAAGGAGGAGGAGATCTTTAACTCCTGTTCTTAGATAGAAAATGACATATGTTGTTGGAACAGACTTTTAAATCTATATAGGGGTGTTTGATCATCACTGCATTTAATTAGTAGTTTAAAAATGGTACTTAATGATATTAATAATAGAATCCACATTAAAGTGCTTCTTTTTCTGATTAAAGTATTTTGTGGATGTAATAAAGTCTTTATAAAACCCTCAGTAAGATGTTTCTTTCAATATCTTTAGTCAAGGTGTATCATATAGTCATGGTTTGTAAAATGTTTAGCAATGTAAGGACAAAGTATACGTATGAGTTATGAGAAGTAACTGAGTTTGGATTATTAAAAGCTTAAAAAAACAGTTATTACACTGGATGTAGATTTTCTGTGACTTGTAATGAAAGATGATGTTTTTCTTTGGTCTTTTAAAACTTAATTTAACACGTGATGTTTTTGCTTCACAAATGCAGATGTACTAATCCAAATGTTCAATTTCATCATCAAGAGTGTTTGTAATGACAGTTCTTTGCTTTAACTTGCTTTTATGAAATACATTTTGATTGCACAATCACCACCAGTGTTTTGACTGATTCCCTGCAAGTTTTGCTGTCACTCTGACATACTGTCTTCTAACATGTACCAATCTCTTCCAACACAAAGGAAGTGTTTCTGCTATCGGACATGATAAAATGTGCTCAAACAGTGAATCGTCCACACAGCAAAGCAGTTTGTGATAAACCATGTCTGTGCCATGTCTGTGTTTTGAGACAAAAAACACTTCATGTGCACAGTTTCAAAAGCTAAAAGATGAGAACGAAACAGAAATGAGTGATAATAGCTACTCTTGTTGTGAAGTCTTTGCTTTAACCCTTTAAAAAGTCTAACATGTCCGTTTGCCTGTTTCTCCAAACTAAGGACTCGCTGTCATCTACTCTGTTTAAAGTTGAAATCCAGCCATTATTTTTACATTAACCCTAGATGATAACTGTTGACACAATTATCATGCTGAAAATAGTCAACCCCTTTGGAAATATTCTCTTTTTATTGATTTTTTTCCAACACTGGACCACGGTCAATACAAGCTTTTCCTTTTCTTTTGTTGACGAGAATTTACCAAAAAACCAAAAACAAAAACATAAAAACTCTTTCACGTCAAAGTGAAAACAGAGTTCTACCAAGGGATGTCAATTGATTCCAAATTGAAATCTGCTTCCTGTTCTCGTTGACACCTCATCTCGTCTCATTTCATTTCTTTAGTGATCGCAAGACTCAAGGGAGCAACAAAGGCCGTTGCAGATTCCACCACATGTGCTTTAAAATAAAACCTTTACTGGTTCAGCTAAACACTTCGTTTCACATTTGTGGTTTAATACTGTACTGCAGCCACCTACAAACACACACACTGTCATGGAGCTTTGGGTTATTGGTGCTACTGTGGATCTAATTTCAGCATTTTAGAAACGTGAAACGAAAAGGACAAAAGGGTCTTTTCTTCATTAGAAACTCCACATCAGCTACACTACTCTGCAAAACCACTCAAGCTCACTCAAGTTTGTCGTCCACTAAGGGCTAGGAGGAGTCTAATACTGAACGTGAGATCCTGTGTCAGCTGCTTGTTACACACTCTGGAGACATTCGTCACATATTCTGCAGAAAGACAATAAATGTAGTCAGAATATACATAAGATACAAGAAATAAATGAAACATGTAGATGCAAAATGCAATCAAGGCATCACTCTGAAGTGTACATGTGTAGGATATGGACAGACACAGATGCTCAAAAGGATTCAAAGAAGAAACTTCATGTGAACTTTGCAGCACCCAAGTCACAGGGCCTTGTAAATCAGCTCTGCAGACTCGGAGGAGTGAGGAAGCAGAGCCCTTTTGGAATTCCTTATCAGAAGCTTCAAAGGATCTAACGCAAAGAAGCGTTTGGGGGAAGACAAAGAAAAACATTCAAGACCACTCAGACCTTAATAAATGGTCCAGATGGCCAGGCGCAATGAAGTGCCCTGGGCTTAACGTATTGCTCTGCTGACCCC